CAGCCGGCCGCGGGCAGCATCATTCAACTTGATGGCTGACGGCTGACATGTTTGGGCAGGCATTTCCTTGAAATGCCGCATTTGACCATGCGGGACGTGGTCGTGAGCAAAAATGTAAGCGCGCCACCGTGCCTCAAAAATGTAACTTAATTTTTTGAGGTCTTTTCCCGGAAAATCACCCATGAGGCCTCAAAAATGTAAGTTACCTTTTTCAGGCCACCTCAAAGTTAATGTAATTACATTTTCTGAGGCCCTCCGCACAGGAAAATGTAACTTACAATTTTCGACGTCCCCCCTCAGGAAGGGGTGGGATGTTCTGACACTTGTTTCTTCCCTGTCCGCTTGACTCCACCCTACGCCCCTACGTGCTTCGAGTAGGTACTGAGTAGGTCTTCAATTCGCGCGTGGAGTTTTTCTGCGGAAGTGCAAGAAGGATAGACGTGATCCAAAGTCCATGTGGCTGTGGCTTTCTCTATGCTGTTAATATATAGTTAATTTAGACCTTGCCTTTTCTGTGTTTTTTGTCGCTTCTTCAATCCTTTAGACATTTCTTCGCCGTCTTTGCTTTTCCAATGCCTGTCAGATTTGCTTCCTTGGTGCGCCCCTCGAGGGTGCCACAGTTCTGCCCTCTTTGAGACTCAAAAAGTTTGCACCTCACAGGAGCGCATGCGCAATATACTTTGTTTGACCAAACATGCAGTTTTGAGAGTCACAAAGAGTTGCGCTTGCTGCGAAATCTGCACATCGAGATCAACAAAGCGCCACGAAATTTTCACATCGAGGCGCTGCGCCTGCCACAATATTTGGTATGAGGAAGGGGAAATTGACGCCGGGTCCCCTCAGAACCTAAAGTGTTTCAAGTGGCCAGAAAGGTCACCTGAGTGCGATCTGCCCAGAGCAGGTAGCGCTGCAGTGGTGGTGAGTCGAGAAGGCAAGAGAGGCGGTAAGCCAGGAGGAAAGTCTGGTGGGAAAGGCAAGGGTGGAGGGGCAAGATTCATGAGGTGTCGGAGGAGACAACATTGGCGGAAGAGTGGTGGCGCACGATTCCCCTGTTGAGTGTGACATGACACAGGACTGACATTCCCTCGGAAGACTGCATTAAGCTCAACTCACTGGTCAGACCTTCACGGGAAACATCTGGGGGTGGAGTTTCCACAAGACGACGCTAACGGCTCAGTTCGACACCCATGGGTCTGACCATGGACGAAATGACGGTTCCAAAGCTGTTCCCGGTTGCAGCAAACGTACGCTTCACAATTTCCGCTCTGAAGTAGAACGGCTCTACCCTCCACCTCAACGAAAACTCACGCGGAAGCAATCTTAAAAGCCTCAAAACCACATGCTTCTCTCACAGACATGGAGCCAAGAGCAAATCCTTCCCCACTGCTGTCTTCCAGAAGCTTCCAGCCGGACTTACACCGGGAGACCCCAACAACTCACGCCAAGCGAAAAGCTAAGGTGGTTAAGGTTGCTCACGCGGGCCAGACAGCCTTGCCCAAAAGTTTATGAATCTATCAAAACCTCGAAAGCGGAGCTTATCAGGGGAGCTCCATCGCAGCCAGTGGCAACAGGCTGCGGTGTCGATGGCATCATGTTCACATTGGCGTCGGATGGAATTGGCCAAGGACTGCTCCTGTCTGCCGTGGCTTGGCGCCCAACCACAAGCCACAAGTTAGAAGGTCCTGTCATCCTGGTGACCGGAGGCCACAAGTGCCCAAGACGCTGGTATCATATGCTGCCATTCACTTGCCGGCCGAGTCACTAGAGCGGATCGATCAGGGCCAGGTCCGCCGTCCCCGCATACGGAAGCAGTCAGGCTGCGTCCTGTGACCACACCGCCGGCGTATAGGCGGCTCAGAGTCGGCTCCTGTGGGTTGTGAACGTAGGATGCGAAGGTCACTTGCGGCCATAGACAATGGAACCAGCGGCCGCCAATCCAATCGATGATGGCCATAGCGCTTAGCGCTCTCGCGGAATCCTCGAGAGCCTTGCAAACCATCAGTCAAGGCATGGCGGGTACAGAAGTGTCTGGTGTTTATATAAGTCACTACAGAACCAGCCAAGCTTTCAACAAAGTGCCATCCAAACCTAAGTGTACCGCCGAAAGACCGGCTCACGGGGCAGGGTGTTGAAGGCTTTGGCGAGGTCAGGACTCAAGAACGTAACCATCATTTTCCACCAAACTCACCCAATAAGCATCCAGAAATGAAGGCTTATCCTCAATGGGTCTATATAACCTCTCCATCAGTGGCACTGAAGTTCCAGAGGTGAAGGCTTATCCTCGCCTATTCTTTAGGGCCTACCTCTCCATCAGCTATAGGCATCCAGAGGTAAAGGCTCAACGCGGTTGCTGTGAAGCTGCGGTGGGGCACGGTCACTGATGTGAACTTCAATGCACGTTTGGAATGGCCCCACACAACAGACTGATCATTAACGTTGATGTGTTCCGAGCTTTCGTTCGGTCTCGCAAGCCACGCAGTGCAGTTGGAATTGATGGACTGGGTCGCGCCGAGTGGCGCAGCTGCTTTCCATTTTCCAGACGCCTGAGCAGTCCGGATTCTGGCCCATCCAGCTTCGCCACGGAGTGGCGCACAGCCTGCAAAAGATTGTAAAGATGATCGATCGAGCCAACCCGGCTCCAGCAAATGATCGCGTTTGCGCCAACGTTTTTCCCAGGCAGTTTCGAACTCCTGGTGCAAAAAAGCCTGCAGTGAACCTACGTACTACAATCACTTGGCGCCGGATAGTGCTGGCGTCGGTCCTGTAACCCATGCCTGACCACCTTCATCACACTCAACGATGTGACAGTGGCCATTGGAGTGAGAAAGTGGAATGGATGCATCAAACGCGCGGCTAGGGACAAAGCGCAAACCAGGTCCGCAAACGGAGGTGACTCGAGGACTCAGTGCTGTTCACGAGTGTCGACATAGGTTCAGGGCCGGGAGCCCGCGAGCAAGGTGCATGGCTGTAGCTCTGGAAGGAATCTGAGGTCTGAGAAGGAAAGGGGCACACGCCCCTAGCCTCTACAATGGAGCTCGACAAATGACAGACCATAGCGACATGCGATGAACGCCAAGAAACGGAGGGTGGCGACGCGAATGTGAATCTTGATGCGCAGCCCACCAGATTCCGCGAGCCTGCGCAGTCGAAATGCATTTCGAAGATCTCGAGGTGAATGAATGGCCAGACACGGATGCAAACCCCTCGGAGTTACCCGCACTGTTTGGGGAAAAAATCTGGCAAGTGCCAGAAAATTTTGACTCGGTTTTTGCACTTGCCTCACACTTCTCAGAAACGTGAAATGTATTCGACTTGTTAGTTGCTACGCTCGCCATATTTCGATGTTACAGCAATGACAAAAGTAAAGCATAATAACGACGCAGAAAGTACATGAAAGTACAAAAAGCGAACAAGCAAGTTGGACAATGCCCAAACACATATGCCAAAGGATTGAAAAGAACGAACGCACGAAAATATGTGAAACCTATTTTTTTAATAACTACGGCGAAACGCGCTCTACATGGACAGCGTAAGTTTAAACGGAAGAATGTGATGCACGACACAAATACGCACACAAAAAAACGCAAATAGAAAAAACAAAAAATGCGAGAACAATGCGATGCGCAACCAAAATGCGAAAAAAATCGACAAATGCGACGCGCCGCCACAAAAAATGCGAGGAACGTGCGATGCAAGAAGAGATTGCTTTACAGAGTGGAGGACTTAGCAGGAAGCACTAAGATTGTTTTTCGATCAACATTTCAAGGTTGGACAATTTGTTTAGAGGGGAGATGGAGTGCACCCGCGACATAAACTTGCAAAATGCTGCGTTTGCCACGAGCGCGCAATGGAACAGGTGATCATTGTTCCTGCTTTGTTGATCGCCTCGGATCCTTCACCGTCACCCATGTTTGTTCCTGTTGGTGTCCATGTTTTTGTATTGTTTTTTCAATTCTTTTTGTTGTGTTTTTTTCTTGTTTCTCTTGTCCTTGAGTTATATTTTGTAGTTGCAAAGTGTTTTTGTGTCGTTGTTTTTTCTTGTTGTGTTTGCTTTTCTTGATTCCTTCCCCGCTCTCGCACTTTGTTTTCCGACGGCAATGTTGAAAAAAATCGAAATAATTACTTGTGGAAATGGAAAGAGTGACTGATCTTCGCCATTCACATTTTCCAGGTGCCCAGCTGCAGGGTCTTAGCCAGCTGCAAGTCTTGGATGGCGAAGAACTTGGACGGCCCAAGACAGGCACTTTGGGGTGCACAGGTGGAAGACCGCCCAAGGCCGCCCGAAACCTGACATGTGTGATTTTGATGCTTCCACTTGGAGTTTTTCCAAAGGCATGTTGTCGGGTATTGCTGTATGTTTTGAAGGGTGGTTCCACCTTGGGTTTGTTGGGGCTGCAAGTCGTTGTCCCAACAGTTGAGCATTGTCACATCCGCCAGTTTCTGTGTTTTACTCTTCCAGGGGTTCTCCTGCACATTTCTGCACGTTGGATAGGCCGCGCAACGTTTGAGCTTTAGGGTTTCACATTGCCACGCGACAGCAACGAGTTTGGGGTTTTGAGGTGCCGGCAACGGAAGATCCCTTCCAAACAGATCAAACCTTTTTGGGGGGAGGTGGGGTAGATGGTAGTAAGCTCAAGTAGCCAGTAGTAGGAGGAATATACATATAATATATATATATACATATTTTATTGTGTAAGTAGCGATCGAAAGCTACCCAGGCAGAAGAACTCAGGCTTGATTGATTTAGTTCCTGGATTTTGAAACCTCAACATACAAGCCTAAAGGACGGTGATGGGGCGAGCCGAAGGGGACGGTGTCCATCACAGGCTTTGGCCCAAACGTCGCTGCCGATGCTTTCTTGTCAAGTTTGTTGAAAGCTCTGAAAGCGCCTAACACAGACATAGACATGGCACGATTGATCGAAGTATACAGCAAACCTGTCCCTTTGGATATTGCTAATGCTACTGGATGTTGAAAACTAGGCACTTGGCAGGCCAGCCATGTCTGATTCGGATCCTGAAACCATCCCGCCCGATTCGTGTTCTGAAGACGAGGACTCGGATAGGAATTTATACCGAAATTTCGTGTTGCAGACAGAGCTCCGAGAGGCCATTGAAAGAATCCAGGCCTCGGAGGTGCAGGGACAGGATTCAGATCACTTCGAGGATCCAGATCCAGACGATGAGCTACGAATAAGAGCTGGACTCTCCTACTTCAGCGAACATGGAGCTGGGCTTCCACCCAAGAATGTGCATGCCGTGCGACGGCACTTGTTTTGGGAAAGGCACAAGATTCGCAATCCTGCTGAGAAGGGAGATCTTTGGAAACACGATGACGACACCTCGCTATTGGACGTGGTGAGAGCTCAAATTATGGAAGAGCTTTTTCGGAAGGTGTACCACAGCAAGGTGCAGGGTTTGAAAGAGGGGTGTTCAAACCGGTTTAAGTCAGTTTGACTCCATTTCAATGTGCAAACCCAATATGCCAACATAATGTTGAGCGCCCAAACCCGAAAGGTGCAGAGTGTGCCACCATTGGACCGTCCTCAGTTCTTCATGGATACGCAAAAAGAGATCTCTGAGATGTCTTCAGAGGACTTGTGGAAAAACCTGGGCTATTCTGCGGACTGGCATCGCATTTCGAAAAGGATGATGGTCAGAGGATACCCCCACTCTGCAAAGGAATGTTACCTCCGTTATCTTCACAAGCTACACCCTTTATTGAAGAAGGGTCGCTTTACCAAGGCGGAGGACCGGGTCGGAAACGTCTCCAAAGTCGCGAAGCCAAGTGGTGACCCTTGGACTGTTTGCTTTGAAGATCCCCAAGCAGCCAGAACATAAGTTTCGATCCCTAGAATCCCAAATTGAGATCAGATCCGAACCCCCCCTTTCATTTTGTAGATCAGATCCGAAAGAATGTTTCTGTGCGGCCTCTTGTGCCGCAGGATGTGGCCTTGTTGCAGCTTTCCTCTCGCTATGAAGGCTTCGATTGGGATCAAATCTCCCAGCACATGCCGACGGGTCGCACCGCCTGGAGATGTTTTGAAAGGTACCAGAAAAGCCTGAACAATGGAATTGTCAAAGAAGGCTGGCAACAACATGAGCTGGATCACTTGCGTAAAACCGCTTTGGAATTGGGTTTCTTGCCTACTTAGAAGCATGTTGAATGATCAAAAACTAGTGAACGGTGTCGACACCATCTACTTAAGAAGTTAAATAGTCAGGACATGCAAAAGAACATCCAACACGAAATGTAAAACTGTACAATGGAAAGATCCCGTTTAAAATCGATACCGCTCTAATCCGCTCAATGTTTTTTGTCCATTCAATATTTTTATGCAGCAGCTCTATTGTGTATATATATACTGTATACAGTACTTCCTTTTGTTTCGGTTGTTGCCATGAGGATGATAATTCCAGTGACCCATTTTTTTGGACATGGTGTTCTCTACATGAGAAGTTGAAACCCTTCCCGGATAAGCAGAGACACTTTGTGATACACTAATTGCTGCAAAGTTGATTGTAAAGAATGCCATGCAGGTTTTATACTTCCTTTCTAGCCAGGTCCATACTATGTAGTGCTACTGTGCTGCTGATACTTCCTTTCCTTCACCCTAGAGGGGGTTCCACCAATTCCCCTGTGATGCAATTGCAACCGACACCCTTTTACTGTACGTAGAGAGTAGAGATTGGATGAATGCAAATTGCTCGCCCACTTCTCCTGCTGCTGCTACCATTCCGACTCCTACTGCTACTTCTACTGCTGCTCCTACTGCCAGCAGGACACGGAAACTACAATGTTCACACATTATCATGTTGTCATGCCCTTGCGGTGACCGTGAGCTATGCAACCTCGAAGGGTCCCACTCACAGACAACTGCGTGCAGCCATCTTTGAATGAATCAGAAAGAACTCGCAGACTTTTGAGACATGGGATCATCACATGCCCAACGATCGAACAACAATAGAGAAGTACCTTGATGACAAAGTCGGCACGTGGGGTGGTTTCCTGGATATTTGCGCATTCGCCAATGCAGAGACCATCGACGCCGATACAAGGAAGGCTTTGAAGTTCCACGGAGATGATTTGTTTTCGGTCTTGAAACTCTTTGCAGAGCACTATGAATGGGTCAAATGCGACAGCAGAGCTATCGCGGACCTTTGGCTTCGGGCCAACACCGATGCCACTCTCTTTAAATTTGTGATAAGCGCGGCTTAAGTCTGAGCCGGGTGGGCTTGCGTCGGCAAAACGAGCTCAGCACATTCGACACCAACATTCAAATGTGGCAGCCACCGTCCCTCGTGAACGCCAACTGCTGCTGCTGCTGCTGCTGCTACTACTACTACTACAACACCTACTTGTTTGCCCAAGGTTACTTCCCAGACATGGTGGGCAAAAAATCCAATTTGACGGTGGCCAGCCGCCTTGGTCCTGGCAAGAGTTGTAGCCAATGTGGAGGTCTTTTGCTGCGGTCGCACCAGGCCTTCCAGGCACTCACTTCTGGTCGACTTCACGTCGTGCAATTGGGGTTGTTTGCAATGTTCATCAGGAGATGGACCCCAGAACGGTGGGGTCCTCACGTGGTAGAACTTGCGGGACAGGTGCTTTGATGTTATTTTTTGTTATGTCCCAAGCTTGTTGGAACAACAGGGCCAGAATTTGGGGTGTTTAGTTTCATTTAGGTCTGAAACATGGAGCCCCTCAAAGTCACAGGAAATGGACAATAATTGTTCCCACTGGTTGGGAGTCTCCGCGCCCATTTGCAAAACATAAACCGCCAGAAGGTTGAGTGCCTTGCTGTGTGGACGGCCAAAGAAGATCGAACTCTGGATTTGGCGATGCAGTCGCGTGGCTGTAGACATGGGGGCAGGCCATGTAGCCGTGGGAGCCCTCACATGGCTCGATGAGAAAGGAATTGAAACACCAACTCCTGTTGGTCAATTTGTTTGTTCTGGAACTAAATCACCGGCTTGTAGCTTCTTCAGTTCACATGCCCGGATCAGACTGGGACCCCTTCCAGAGATGAAGCATAGATCACAGCTGTGGCCTATTGTCCATTTTTGGAGCTTCTGGAAAACTGAGGATGTATGGCAAAGATTGCAATGACTGGAAACTGCTTTGTCGGAGCCATTTTCCGGGAAGAGACTTGGAAGAAGTCCTGAAACGCTGGTTCCTGAAGCAAAGCAATTTCGAGCAATGGACGATTAATGAAGATGAAGCGCTTCAGAGGGCCATCGAACGGTGGGGCACTGGAAACTGGGCCTTGATGCGGAAGGATCTTCCAAAACGCTCCTCTGGCACCATCCTGCAGCGCTTCCGCCAGCTCTGCCCCGAGAAGGGGTTCTTGCACCTAGTCACAAGTCAATGGGAAGGGAGAATAGAGGCAGGACAGCAGCTCCCTCCTCATGAATATCCTGTTTGTGCATGCAGTGCAAGTTTGTGGAAGTCCATCGTGCTCATACTACTACTACTACTACTACTACTACTACTACTACTACTACTACTACTATCATCTTACTTCCTTCCTTCCTTCCTTCCTTCCTTCCTTCCTTCCTTCCTTCCTT